GCGATCCAGCAGTGCCCACGGTGCCCAGCTGCGCTCGCTGCTGCTGAGAGGATTCCAGGCGCCTCCTCTCGCTGATGGAGCCCAGGCAGGGGCAGCGCTGAGCCCGGCGCCCCCGTTCCCCGTTCCCCGTTCCCCGCCCAGGAGAGGCCCCCATTCCCCATTCCCCGTTCCCCATTCTCCATTCTCCATTCCCCATTCCCCATTGCCCATTCTCCATTCCCCGTTGTCCGTTCCCCCTTCCCGTTCCCCGTTCCCTGTTCCCCGTTCCCCGTTCCTGTTTCTGCTCCCCATTCCCCGTTCCCGTTCCCTGTTCCCCGTTCCCCATTCCCCGATCCCCGTTTCCCGTTCCCTGTTCCCCGTTTCCCGTTCCCCGTTCCCGTTCCCCGCCCGGGAGCGGCTCCCATTCCGCGTTCCCCGTTCCTTGTTCCCCATTCCCCATTTCCCGTTCCCCGTTCCCATTCCTCATTCCCCGTTCCCGTTCCCCATTCCCCGTTCCCCGTTCCCGTTCCCCATTCCCCGTTCCCGTTCCCCGTTCCCCGTTCCCGTTCCCCGCCGGGAGCGGTCCCTGCCGGCCGCCAGCAGCCCCTGCAGCCCCTGCCCCGCCCGAGCCGCCGCCCGCGGCCACACCCAAAGGGACCGGGCTGCTCGGCGGGCTGGGAGCTGCTGCTATTGTGGTGTTCTGTTTGCTTTGTTCCATACATATTTTCTAGTAAAGTACTGTTATCCTTCCTTCTACACTTTTGCCTGAAAACCCTGTAATTTGGAAATTAAATGATTTGGAGGGAGGGGTCTTCTTTCTGTTCCAGGGAGGTTCCCGCCTTCCTTTGCAGTCATGCATATTTTAAACCAAAGCACCCACCTACACTGGGCCTCAGTGGCAAAACAGAGTAAACTCCCCGCACTCCTTTTATTTCAGTGATACACAGAAAGAGGCGACAGGAGCTAGCTGATAAAAACAGAAAGAAAAGCCAGCACCAATCCTTAGCAAAGCACTGGAAGGGAAGTGTGTGGCAGGGGAAAGGAATGGATAACTTGCTTTCAGTTGCTCCCAGACTACCACAAAAATCATCACAGACAATGAAATAGAAACAGATCTAGCAACCAGGCTGGTGCTGCTGGGAATCATCTTGAATGGTGACTTGAATTCATGAATTCATAGGAATCATCTTGAATTCTTGACTTATTATTTCTAATGGATGGCAGGGACAAGCAAGGCTGAACTGTTGAGACTGCACACAAAGCCATCCTCAAAGAGATAAAAGAGGATTTCTGGCAAAATGAATTTTGTTGTTTACATTTTATTGAGTTTTTGAATTAATTATCAAAGCAATTGGTAGTAAGACTTCATGAGAGTTGTGGCAAAAGCTGGACTCTGACGAGGGACTCCACACCTTTCTTGAGCTCTTCTTAACAACACAACAG